GGAGAAAGTCCAAATGTTGAAAAAAACCGAAACATTAGTCTTTCTGGTAAAAACCATACTGTGATGGGATACATTTATCTTGCAGTAACGTGCACAGTTTGCTGAAGTGGCATTAGGACTAAAAGTTGTTGGTTTTAACGTCAGTATACCAGGGTTATATAACACAAATAAGCAATTATACCTAAGTGATTCGTGCGAATTTGTTTGTTACTGCTATGCAGGGCTGACTACCAATAAGGTGACACACATAAGTCGAGGACCACGGAAGCAACCAATTTGACACCAAGCTTATGAAAATTGGTGCTTGTGAAGAGATAGTTTCTTGATAGTAATTAGGTAGTGTTGTTTGTGTCTAATAGGTTAATTGTGAGATACGGAAGTTTCCATTGGTTGCTGAGTGTCCGTGTTGTCATCTTTCCAAAGTGATGTCAAATTAAATGGAAGAAGAATGATTCATAAATTTATTTATTGCAAACCTGATGGGCTTAGGATACCTCTCACAGAAGCAGATTTGTTTATGCAAACCAAAGCTTGAATTGATTTACGTTGTTGTAGTTGAACGGGTAGCCGTGTGATTATAGTGATCTGGTGAATCGAAAACACGATTTGACTTCCAATAAACACTCAATAAAAGTTACTTGAAAGGAAGGCTTTTTGTTTTGACATACATCAAGTAACTGGCCCGTAATTCTAATCTACACAAAGCAAATTTTGAGTTATAGACCCGTGAAATCATTCCTTTTACATGATTACACAATTCTGCCTAAAGTTTATTGTTCCATTTTATTTAGAGGTTCATCTTTGAGAACATTTGATGCATCCTGGGTAGGACGCCATCTTCCATAAACACTTAGTCATTATCAGTTCAAGGAATAAATTTGGAAAAATATTGGTAAAATATTTCATTTTTAATCATTAATGTCAGTTCACATCAAAGTTTGTTCTCTTTAATCTTCAAGTACGGTGAGTCACCTATTCAGGTTTTACTTCACAGTGAGTTCCGGGGAATCCTACATTTTATGATCATAATGAACAGATAGAGACCGTGGCCGTATAGTTCACAAGGAACTTACCTCTCCATCTCAATGTAACCACAGTATACCCTGTTGTAGGAAAAGGAAATTGTGACACAAATATCTAGTAGGGAAGTTGAAGAATGAGAGTTCGGTGCTAAAATAAAATGCAACCATGCACACATGTTCGGCAAAACGCATTCTAATAATGAATGAGAATAAAACACATCATAAAGTTCCGATGAAACATGACGAGGCTAAGAAGTTTTATCAAAACAAAGTAGAACTTTATCTAAACTCTCCGCTATCCTTCTGATATCACACCTGATAACCGCTTTTATTGATTGACACCAGTTTTGGGTGAATGCTGAGGGACGTCTTCAGAAATCCTTGAACTCTAAATGAATAAAATGCAGTTCATCGTTTAGTAAAAATTCATTTTATATTCTTCCAACTTTGCAACAATGAGAACACCTTATATGTTGCATCAAGACAAAAGAAGACATATGCTGCTAGATGTTACCACAGCTGAATCTCCTTAACCGCTGACGTAAAACTAACAAACAGACATACGATAAACTAGATTGATAAATCTTAGTGCAAGAACGGGCACAGATACACAATGACTGATTGCATCATTTACATGCGAGTGCCCAAAAACAGAATGATGTAATTGGGTTGATAAATCCTGATCCAGTGCCAAGCATTTCATTTTCCGGTACGCCATAAGCATTTTAAATAGGAAGTGGGATCAATCATATATTTGGTGATCATGAGGCGTTTTGAATCGAATGACCCCGGGTTCATTTTTACCATCGGACTATCGGGTGTAATGCTCGGTATTTTTCAAATGTAGCAATCGCAAGAAGTTGCGAGGGTATAGTTTTTTTCCCTTATTTTGTCTGTTGGATTTATTGACCTACTAATTGTTATGCAAGCCACTATCGGTGTTGTACTTCACATTATTTCATCGTTTTCAATTTGTCCCTCTAGCCATCTTAGATTCATGAATACACTATACGCGCATCCAATGTCGACATTTATACGCGAATTTCGTCGCGTATATGATACTTGAAACGAGAACCGGGCAGTTAGAGAGCATGAACAGTTGTTTCAATCCGGTTTAATCTCATCAGCAGTGCAAATCTGTTGACCCAAATTAAGGATCGAACCCGGGACCACTTAGGCAGCAGGAAACTGATCAAACGTTAATTCATTCACTTCTATAGTATAGTATAGTATAGCTCATTTCTTTTTTGACCATTACACCCCACTCGTCTGTGCGCCAGACTCTAGGTTTGCTAATCGGTTGAAAACATTGTGAAAAAGAGAACTCCTAATACTGAACCTCATTTAGGACATAGTTTTCGTAGCAGATATAAATTAAAAACGGAAACCAAACATTAGAAGCGTATTTTATCGTCAGCTATATAAACACGGAACTCATAATTATTCCCTATTTATAACGTTTTACATCGTGTAGATCAAAATCAGAAACCGTTATCACAATAATGAACTTTTAGAATGATAGGGTTTCATTTAGCTTATCTATATTCACTTCGGATCCCTAAGGCTTTCAGTCGTAGCAACCGTAGTTACCCACAGTATTGATTTGAAAATAAACCCGATAAGTAAATTTGTGAAATGCAGGTTCATTTCAGTACAATCTTCTGATAGCCTCTAGATTTCCTCGACTTTGGCAATTCTTGGTGAAGAAATAACTCACTGATACGATTTTTACTTCTTTTGAAGTTAAATTTGCATTGGCTGCAGAAATTTTCTAACGTTCTAACCGTCCTAATACATCCTGCATCCAACTCATGGGAAGTGGCAAATCTATAGAATACATACACTGATTGTGTGCGAGGTCCTCTCTAATCTCAGTCACTCATTTTATAACAGCAGACTGTGTCTTTTCTTCTCATCGGTCAACTCACAGAGATAAACTGAAACGTCCGAGTGAGCGCTTCACGGAAAACAGCCTTCAAGGGGAAGTGTAAGCATTATTTTGATCTACATTTGTTTTTCTTTGCAAGCACTTCCACACATCCTGCGTTTGTACATTTTTGGTTCAGCAATCAGATGGTCATCTTTCTCGCTCAAAGGACAAACAAGCATGCATGATCGATGATTTTTGTGTGGTGAGCAGTGAAAAGCCGGCTGATTGATGTAGTCCACCACCTCTGATAGCGATTATTTTGGTGATACATATCTTATTTCCAAATGCACACATACAAATCTGATACACAAGTTTTCCGTGCATCCTTTCAAGACAAGAGCAAAAGAAGAAGACATAAGAAGTTCATGATGTTCAAAGAAATCAGGCTTAGTTGAATACAGTAAATAACAAGGAAAAAGCTATGCCGTAATTTTTTTCTCAGATCACCAGAGACAGTTTCTTGTTAGCATAAGGAAAACCAGGTAAACATGTTGGGTGGTAATGTTTATTGCGTAGCATTTTATGAATTTCTGAATTGTGAAAGTGAAAATACTGTATGAACAGAGCCCATTGTCAATAAAATATCAAGCGCTGAACAAGCCCAATTTTAGTGTTGTATCAAAACATAATATAGCAATAAAACATTACCAAAACGTTTCACTGTTATTATGGCAGGTTACTCGGAGATGATTTCATCTTGATATTGACAGATAATCTTTCGAATTTATTTAGTAACTGGTATGTAATCCGATGTGTTTCAAGAGATAGACGTTTCGATATGCACATGCTTTCAGTGACATGTTGCACTTGCTGTATTTACAACCATCGCTGAGTAAAAGCAATGTGATAACTATTGTTCGATACAGGCAGCGCAGTATATGGCGCAGTGAACTAAAACCAATCGTGGTATGGCGATACTGATGAAACATCAACAGAAAGAACCAGCCCAATCACCAATCATCACCAAGATTCAGTGTTCTGTATGTAGATTAGGTGAAACAAACATGGTTTAAGTTTCTTTACGAAATGTTTTACAGTCATCAGTATCCCAATGACTTTGGAAATTTGTATTGACATATTGTCGAGCCATTTAAACATTGCTTACTATAAGATAAGACATGCTTATCTTATAAGCGCCATGATGAACCAGTAAAATAGTTTCATATGCATGTCTTTGTTTTATTAATGAAGTGGTTTTGAAGTGGTTTTAGTGGTTGAGATTAAATGAATGAGTATTTGTTGATTGTTTGCACGGTAGAATTTTTACCACGGTAACATAAGTGACTTTCCGTTCGTGAAACAACTTTTGAATTGATCAAACACCAGTCACCAGGAATCATCTATTCTACAGCAAGCTGAGGTGTTCTGACATCAAACAATAGTGACGGGACGGTTCCTAAGACCAATCACTATAGCTAAAAACGTTATACTTCCGGTGCAGTAGTTGTTTGAACATACTTTTGTTCAACGCTTTCATCCCAGGCTGATTGTGTTACCAATTACTATACACCAAAACACAAATGTGGAATCAGAAGGGCCACTGTAGCTTTCCAACAACAAAACTAAAGCCATTGTAAAAGGAGCGAAACGTCAAGTAAAAGGATCTTGCTTTAACAGTGAAAATTGTTGCAGTTGTTCTCAAAAATTATTGCAAAGTATTAAATTCCGGCTATTTCAGAAGAAAAGTAAGAAGAAGTAAAAAGAAGAAGTACAACGAGGCCAGGGGACCAAAGGGTGGGGTTACCCGGGAATTTCTTACTGTCCTAGTCATCCTACTTGGAAACGTTTAGTTATTGGATCATTAGCCGTACTGGAACACACCTCAATTATTTTGGCAGGATCAACACTGAGTATCCTAACACAACATTTCCTATACAAATTGAGTATTATGACAAATCGCCGTAACTAGATATCTGCATCACCCGACTATCAGATGATTCGGTACAGTGTTTGTTGAATAGTGAGACATCTTGGAAGGAGTAATACAACCATTTCCGAAGATTTGTGCCACTTAAAGTAAAACGAAACCTCGTTCGTTGACAGCGGATATGACAAGGAAGATATGTAGTGAGGACATTCTAAAAGGTAAGCTCCGTGTTACAAGTTCGATCTTTGCAGGTGACAAGAATTAGGAACGTTTAGCCGAAAAAAAGTTCCCGACTCGGCGGTTTCATTCTGTGTATACTGATTTATTTGGTCCTACGAAACGATGTACATAAGCCGCATAGTCAGACGATTATCAGAAAGGATTCGGGAACACAACCCTGCGTGGCTGAACACCGAAAAGAGAAAGTCAAGCACCAGTGAAGTGGTTTCAGACCTAGCCGAAACCAACCAAACTGTGAACGTGGGTGAGGCTTGTCAATTCCTATATAAAGTTCGTGGGTGATTATCGAGTCAGGTAGGCTGTCGGATGCTAGCCAGAGCAGAGGCGGTCGGAATTCCTTTGCACAACCCCGTTATGTGCCCAAATTAATTTGCGTAAGCACCAAAGATTGCATGGCCCACCCCCACCCATACACAAAGTATCACGAGCAATCTCGACGACCAGACAAGAATACAAGCAACTGTGTTCATGATGAATCCATTTCTTGGTTTCAT